TGATGGTTAAGGTTGTGTGTCAAGTGGCTGGCTGGCCTTTGATTTTCAGTGGTTTGAAGTTATGTAATGCTTCTAGTGCTCTCCGTTCGTTCTGTGACTTAATGTAATTATCCTCCATTCTGTGATGTGTTGTAAATCCCAGCCTTTTTGTCTGTGGTTAATGTGAGAAGTAATTCTCAAGCTGGCCATCTTCAGGAATAGGGAAACAAAGGGTCCAGGAATTTGCTAATTGGTTGAGGCATAGATTGTTATAGCGACAGGAACCCATTCACCTGGAGTATGTGTAAACAGGATAAATTAGAGGAGGAGGAAGGGAAATCTATTTGAGAAGTGGTGGTGGTGGTTATGTGCCGTGGAGTGGGTCCTGATTCATGGTGACCCTGTATAGGATTTCTAAGGCTATAAATCTTTCCGGGAGCAGAAAGCCTCATATTTCTCCCGTGGAATGGCTGGTAGTTTCGAACCGCTGACCTTGAGATTAGCAGCCTGATTCGATTTGTATGTAATCACTATGCTACCAGAGCTTATTTGAGATGCAGAAACATTAAAATAAGAATGCAACCATCAAAAGGAAATATGCTACCTAAAAGAAGATTTTTTACCCCATCTTACTCAGTGAGGAATTGGGGGAGAGACTTCCGAGCTAGGAAATGAAAACACTTGTAAAATGGCCTCGCTACACGTCTACCCATCTTGTCTTCTGGGTTTGGCACCCGATTTAGCAATATTGAATAATATAGTTTTACTCTTGCTAAAATGAGTACAAATTGGATTTCTTGAGTGCTTGTCGGTAAGCTGATAACTCATTGGTGACCTCATATGGGATAAGGTGGTCTGTCCCAGTTCTCTCTTCGGAGACCCATCAGGATAAGGTCCTAGTCAGGGGTTTATACCGACCTTCCAGTTACCAAGAGAAACTGAGGCTGTATCTGGGGTATCAATGTTTCTCACAGTTAGGGCACCATTTGGAAGTGAGTTATCCCTTATAGTAATGAGGTAGGATTAGAGCAGGATGTATCCTGAGTCACCACCTTACAATGCTTATTCAAGTCACATCCTTGTACCACCTTCCTCAAGTAAGGGGAGTTTCCTTGAAGGTAGAATCTGCATCCAGTGTGTGCATTTATGAATGATCCAGCCAAAGGTCTCCCTCTGGCTCTGGCTCCTGCATTCAGCTGGTCATCATCAGACCTTGGGTACTGGAGCCAGTCTATCATCTGATCTGATTTGCTGCCAGCTTCTGAAGCCTTGTAGCCTGTCATCTGACCCAACAATTTGGGTTCAACAGCCCCTGCAGTCACTTGGGTCAGAAGAAGCCTCCAGCCTGATGTCTGATCCACAGATTTGGGAGTTGCCAGCCTTGAGCCATTTCCTTGACAGTTTGTGAGTTCTGTGAGGCACTGCATTGAACTGGGAAACTCGAAAACATGGGAGTGAGAGAACGGATGGAAGGAAGCACAGTTGATAGTGTAGATGATGGAATGGTCCAGCAGTTTGGCTATTTAGGACATCTTTATCTCTGCATCATAGAAACCAGCTTTGCACTAATCCTTATAAAAAAGATGACTCATTTAGCATGTCTCGAAGATTTTTTAAAAGCCTCAGAAACTATACAATTTCTCTCTATTGAGTCAGAACTAGATCAAGGGTACAACAGCAGCAACATAGCTTAATAATAAGCCGGGGGGGGGCAGTGGGTTAAGTATTGGGCTGCTAACCAAAGAGTTGGCTGTTTGAACACACTAGCTGCTTCTCGGGAGAAAGATGAGGTAGTTTGCTTCTGTAAAGATCTACAGCCTTGGAAACCATAGGGGACGGTTCTACTGTGTTCTACAGGGTTAGTCCAATCTACAGTCAACTCGACACCAGTGGGTGTGTCTATAACTCCATGGGTACAGTTGCAGAGGAAGCGGGTCTGGAAGGATGGCCAACTGTCATGTTAACATGCAATATTTTTTCCCTTTGTGTTTTCCAAGGGGCTTTTTTTAAACTATTGTTTTTTAAATAAGCCTGAGCACCTATTTTTGTCATCTGAAGGGGGGGGCAATTCTATTTTTGTGGGAAGAAAAGACTATAAAGGTAATTTACATCTAAGAGGGTAAAGAGGTCCTAAAGTTGTGGGGTGATCAGTCTCTTTTCTAAAGCTAAACGCTGCCTTTCATTTAGGTTCTTGTGCTGGGATAATTAAAATACTAGAAGATGAAGAGAAGCATTTGCTCCTGGGAAATTTGTATAAAAATAGAACTCAACGTAAGGAGGCCATTAATCCTTATTTTGGAAATGCTTATAAAAATTCAGAAGCAGGGTCTTCCCACTACTGGGAGTCCCCAGTGGAGGTCTACGGTTGGAGAGGAGACTGAACCCGAGTCTCCCAACCCTGAGACCAGTAAGTGGAAAGGTTCCTCAGCGGCTGGAGGAATTCACAGGGGGGTGCGGAAATCCAGCCGCCCTGGCGAGCCCACAGCGGAGGGGGGACACTGGTGTCACTTTCGCTGAACTGGATTGCAGCCCCAGCTCCACCATACCTTATATAGACACCCAGCTGTCAATCCTGCTCTGCACGCCAAGGGCATGGAGAGAGGTCATGACTGGGAGCAGCCGGGGCAGATGTCGCCAGGGCCCCGCCACAACCTGCACTCCCAGCCAATGTGCAAGTGAAACATCTCCGCCTGGACATCCAGCCTTCTCCCTCACCCCCAGCACCTGTTCCCTGTCTTCTGAACAATCCGGCTCCTCCCCTACCCTCCTGCCCGCAACTACTCCCCCTCCAGTTCAGGGGCTTTTCCCCCTCGCCTGCCAAAGTCTGCTCTATCCTCCAGTCAATAACCGAGGGGAGCGCCCCACCGATTGCCAGAACCCGAGTCACCTATTCCCCCAAACCAGTCTCTGGATCTCCCAATCCCTATCCTCCATAAGTCCCCTGGTTGGTCCTCCACCTCCCAGTTCTCCCCAACCCTGTTCACCCGAGTTTACCTCCTGTCCCTCCCAGGTCTTCCCCACCCCCAGCCCGCACCAGAAAGAAAGCACCCTACGGATGCCAGAGCCGCCTCCTCCCCCAAACAGTCCCAGCGTCTCCCCCCACCCTCCAGAGTTCCAGGCTGTCTCTCAACACCAGTACCCTAAGTCAGCAGCTCCTCTGCGTCCCCGGCCCTACTCACCTGGCTCATATTTGAGGTAGAGGATGGAGACAATGAAGTAGCTGAGGTCAAAGACCGGGAAGAGCGGCACCCGAGAGAAGCTGAGCGCTAGCTCGCCCAGGCTCAGTGCGGACAGCAAATCCATGATGTTCACCCGCCGGGTTCGACCCCAGCCCCAGGCCCAGCTGTGCCTCCCTCGCCGCAACTGCGCCCCCGCGGAGGCCCCGCCCCAATTCCAGGGCCCGCCCCGGGCCCGCCCCCAAGAGGAGGGGCAATCTCTGGTTGTACCGTCCTGTCTCCTAGCTACTGGGATTCCATTCATCCCAGCGAAACGGGCTAGATTGGGTGAGTCGGATAGGGCGGCCGTCCACTTAGGGGGTCAGTTCCTCATGGAGCCCACCCAATCAGGACTCCTGTCCCCATGGTCTCGTTAGGACACCTGTCTCCTGTGGGGCCCAATCCATCTGGACTCTGTCTCTATGGGCTGTTAGGACCCCCGCTTCCTGTAGGACCCGCTCAGTCAAGAACATCGTCCTCTGTTGAGGTCATGACCCATGTCCCCACGGGATCTGTTATGTCAGGACCCTCGTCTTCCGTGGAGTTCCACAACTCAGGATCACCGTCCCCCAAACGACCTTGTTTGATCGAGAATTTCGTCCCTTGTGGAACTCGCTCGGTGGGGAGCCCCCATTCTTTGTGGGAATCGCTCAGTCCAGACCCCAGTGTCAGTGGGACCCGCTCAGATGAGACTCCTGCTTCTGTGGTAACTCTGATGGATGCTCACGTCCCCGGGTCCCTTAGGTAAGGACCACCCCTCTCTAAGGATCCACAAAGTCGGGGAAGCCTCCTCTTAAAGGACAGTCAGTCAGGGCGCTCTTCTGTGGGGAGCCCACTGCATCAGGATCCTCGGCCTCCGTGCAGATCCGCTGTGGGGGTTCCGTTTCCCCAGAATCCCAATGGGGGTGATACAGCAGGGGAGAAGAAACCTCTGCTTTGCTCATTCTCCTGCCTTAGATCGTCACGCATGCGCACCTTCCTTCGAACCGCAGGGGCGATCCCGCCCCTAGGTGACTCCGCCCTGAGAAGTTGTCACGCACTTGCTCGTCCTTCTCCCTGACCCACCGGTCTCCCAGTGAGAAGTGGCCTCGCTTTTTTCTAAGGAGGGCCTGGCCTGCCTCGGCCTTCCATTGGCCTAGCCCTGCCAGCGTTGCTTCGTGATTGGTCGACTCATGCTTCTCTACCTGGGACTTCCTTCCCTCCACGGGACTTCCGCTTCCGGTTCTGACGGATGCTTCGGCCGTGAAGATGATCGGGGACATCCTGCTGTTCGGGTAATTAGGGGAGCCCAGGGGATGGGAAGAGACAGTCAGAATGGGTAGGGAGCTCAGGTAACCGCATTCTTCCTCCGCAGAACGCTGCTTATGAACGCCGGAGCGGTGCTCAACTTTAAGCTGTGAGTAGGCCGCGGCCAGTCCTGCCCTACCCGGGGAACCCGTAGCTCCGCCCCCAAGTGCGTAAGCCTGCCCCACGCCCTGCCCCGCCCCGGGAACACGCCCTCTGGCTACGTCTCCAGCTCCTTCTGTGTTACCCTCTCAGGGCATCCAGGATTCCAAACTAGGACTCTCTGTTCTCTGGAGAGCTTCAGACCTTCCCTTCTAAAGGCAGACTCCCCTCAATTCCACCCAGAAAACTCTTAGTCCTACCCCGGATCCTCTGTCCACCACCCTGTAGGCTGATTGGTGGGTATGGTGGTTGACCAGAGAAGGCTATTGAGCCACCCGAGGTCACAGAGCAGGCCAGCCGCAGGGCTAGAGCTACAACTGCATCATCTCTCAGCCAAGTGTCAGGGTCAGGGGACCACACAGCCCTTAATGTCCCATCAAAAGTGGACACTTGTCTGCTGCTCTTTGTAGGAAAAAGAAGGACACAACGCAGGGCTTTGGGGAGGAGTCTCGGGAGCCCAGCACAGGTAAGGCTACCTCCCTTCTGGCCCGAGTAGTCACCTGCACTCCCTGGGGGCCCTGGAATTGCACTATCCAATTTGGAGAGGACAGTTTTTTTTCTCGCCAAGTATAGCCCAGTTTGCTTTTTCATAGAGAGAGCGAGAGTGTGTGTGTGTGAGAGAGATTGTCCTTGAACAGAACAAATACTTTTCACTTGACTATGAATCTAAAGGTTGGTGATTTAAACCTTTGCTTCAAGTGTGGTAGAGAAAAGGCCAGGTGGTTGACTTCCATGGATTCAGCCAAGAAAACCCTATGGTGCCGCATAGTTGTACTCTGTAACACATGGGATCACCATGAGTCAAGTTGATGGCAACAGGAAATGGGGCAGAATTCAGAGCTAGTAGCAGGTGGAGTCTGAGGAAGAGAGGGAGACACACGATATACTCTGGAAGAGGGCACAGCTTCTGAACTTGGTGCAATTTGAGGGAGATGGGACAGCCAAAAGAACAGCTCTAGTTGCATGGTATAACTCTTGCCTTCTATGTTGGAGTCTTGCATTTGATTCCTGGTCAGCACGCCCCATGCACACGTATCAGTAGATGCTGAACAGGTTTCAGTGGCGCTTCCAGACTAAAGTGGATGAGGAAGAAAGGCGGGGGGATCGTCTTCTGAAAATCAGCCCATGAAAACCCTATTGGATCCCAGTGGTCCAATCCTCAGCTATTCAGGGGGATGGCCCAGGACCAGGCAGTACCTGGGATTGCCTTGACTGGATGGTTTTTGGTTTTGTGTTTAGTTTTCAGTTTTATGTTCTGTGTTGGGCCTGAGAATGTTTTGTGCCTGCTCCCACCTCTATCCCTATTTTTTTCTGCTGGACCATTCCAAATAAGAAAGCAGTTACTTTACTCCTGTGGTTGTAATTTTCTTTTTGGATGCTGTTACCTGGCTAGCATCTGCTCTCACACTTTCCCGTAAACCCAGAGAAGAGGCCTAAAATGTGTTATGTTTCCAATCCCAACACTCCAACAGGCGGGAATACTTGGATGAATGAGTGAATGAATGAACAGTCTCACAAGCAGCTAGTGTTTGATGAACGGATGGATGCACATCTGTTGGGGCCTACAGGGTATCATTTTTATTTTGATTTTTTAATTAGTCAATGCCAACTCAGAGCACCCCCATGTTTGAAGGGTGGAGCTGCACCCTAGGGATTTCTTGGCTAGCATCTAGGAAGCAGATTGCTGCACTTTTTCTTCTGAAGGCTGCCAGATTGGTTCCAGCCATCTATCTTTTGGTTAGTGTTGTTACTAGGTGCCATCGAGCCGGCTCCGACTCATAGCAGCCTTCTGCACAATAGAACGAAACACTGCCTGGTCCTGTGCCAACCTCACAATTAGTGTTATACTTGAGCCCATCGTTGTTGCCAGTGTATCAGTCCATCTCATGGGGGTGGGAGGGGCTTCCTCTTTAGCTCTGACCCTCCACTTTACCAAGCATGAGATCTTTCTCCAGAGAAAGGTCCCTCCTGATAATATGTCAGAATTATGATAGAGATAACGTGTCACCATTCTGGCTTCTGAGGAGCATTTTTGGTTGTATTTCTTCCAACACAGATTTGTCAGTAGACAAACGTAAGTCATTTATAGTCGTTGACTTGACAGCACACAGCCGCCACCAGCACCCATTAGGTGCCATCATTCCTAGACTTTGGATAAATCATGACCCTACCCTGATTTAAAATCAGATGACTGATTTTTCTTAAAAGATGAGAGCATCCAGCAGCTTGGGTTTCATGTCACCTCTTGGCACCTGTTGAGTGGAGTTGAGAAACCAAACCCTCTTCCTGCATGGCCAGGGGCCTCTGTCTCAGCCCCGCCCCCACCCCATCACTTTCACACATCTTACTGCCTGGTCCTTGGAGGCTCTGGGATCTGCATCACCTGATAAATCCATTCCTGTGACTTTGGAGTCTGTTGGGACCTGACTGTTGTGTCTATTTGTTCATTTATTTGTCAAATGCTTATTGAGAATCTACTAATTGCCAGCCGCTGGGTGGGGTCTGAGGACCCAGTGGGCAACAAGACAGATGTTCCTGCCTTGTGGGACACTGCATAGAGTGGCAAATAGTTCCAAGAGCAGGGACACGAAGGAGGTGGTGCCAGGTGAGGTAACAAGATGGTGGGGAGGCACCACTCTGACTGGGGTGTGCCAAGGGACGGCCCCTCTGAGCAGGTGGTATCACAGTCCAGGTGTCTGTGCTGAATGGAGCAAAGTACAAGGCTGGCTGGACCCTGGGGGGGACCCACAAACAGCTGCCGTGTCCTGGTGGCCTGTCCTGTGTGGGCTGCTGTGTTAGGTGATTCCTACGGGTATTTTATCAATACCCTTGACCCTGAAAGGTGAAGATCGTCTTCCCATTTGACAGATGAAATAGGCTCAGAGGTGTAGCTTGACATGCACACAGCCGATCAGTAATAGGATCTTCCTGGATGCAGAGGTTGTATTCTCACCTGTAGACTGACTGATCAACCATTCATTCACTCAGCCATCCACTCAGCAACTGTGTGTCATTGCCAGCAGCCGTAGAGTTGGCCCGAACTCATGGAGACCCCATGAAATGAAATGCTGCCTGGTCCTACGCCATCCCTATGATCAGTTGGGATCAGACTGTTGAGAATCATAGAGCTTTCTTCAGCTGATGTTTGGAAGTAGAACTTCAGGCTTTTCTTCCTCTTCCTTTACCATCTCATGCTCTGCTAAATTTGTTTGGCATCACAGCAACACACATTGCTATATACATTTACCACCCCCATACTCTGGAAAGTTCTGTCCCAGGGCTAGCTCCCATTGACCAAGCTTGGGTCACATGTTCCTCCCGAGTCAGTCAGGAGTTTGGGGCTCTGGGAGGGAGGTGTTGGTGGCATCCCAGGCCTGTGTTCTGAGGGTGGGATGTGGTGGAGGCCCAGAAGGAAAGCAGGGGCAGTGGGTGTGGGTGGGCAGAAATGTCAGCTGTGTTGTAAAAGTGCTTTACTTCCCAGGTGACAACGTGCGGGAGTTCTTACTGAGCCTCAGATACTTCCGGATCTTCATTGCCCTGTGGAACGTTTTCATGATGTTCTGTATGATCGTGTAAGTCTGATGGTCACTTCTTCAGGGTGGCCTGACCCGGTGGTCCTTCTCTGTCCTCGGCAGACACTTTGGTATCATATTGCCTGCTTTCAAAGTAATGTTTATCTCAGTGAATGAGTAGACCAGTGACCCACAGGGGTTAAATGCTGTTGCCACAGTCCTGTGAGCCCGGCCAGAGCTCTGGCTAGGACAGGATGTTCTGCAAGGCAGGCCTTTGTCAGGTGCTGGCCAGAGACACTTTCCCCTAGCTGGTCACCTCACACCAGTGTGACACATGTACCTTACATGACCAGCATGCTGTGGTGTCCCGATTTAGCCCCACTAAAACCCAGCCAAAAAATGTGTTCAAACTTTACTTTTATTCCCTTGACTGTTTTCATTTATGCTTAAGAAAAAAAGTCCTCACTTTGAGGGCTGCTGTGGTTCAGTGGTGACATTTCTGCCTTCTACACGGGAGACCCGGATTCGATGCCCACCCACTGCACCTCATGTGCAGCTGCCACTTGTCTGTCCCTGGAGGCTTATGTGTTGCTCTGATGCTGAGTAGGCTGGAAAGGAACTTCTAGTCTAAGGTGTGCTATGAAGAAAGGCAGGGTGATTGGTTTCCGAAAATCAGCCACTGAAAACCCTGTGGACCTTACCGTTGAATCTGCAACCTCTTCATGAGCATGGCACAGGGCTGGACAGTATTTTCTCCCACTGCACAGGGTCGCCATGCCTCAAAGTCAGGTACTTTACTTGTGGGCAGGGAAGAGTCCTCAAGAAAGGACTCTGATGGGAGGTAGTGACTTGCTGTCCCAGGATATTGAAAACCCTGAGACCATCAGACAACTTGAAGGACGTACATTGGACCAGCGGTCATGACACAATGATTGATGATGATGGGTGATGATGGGGTGAAATGGTTTGAAGGTGAAAAGTGCTGTATAACATCTGTGTGCACAGCCTGAGCTCAGGTGGGGCTTGCTCACAGTAAACACGGAATACGTGTTGAATGAGTGAACAAGGTGAGGAAAGTTCTACTCAGTGAAGGTGTTGAAAGGGTCTACTCCATATGGTCCGTGGAGGTAACTGTCCTGTGATGCCAAGGAAGCTGTTGGGGTCTAGTGTGGTTCACTTCCCTGAATCTACTTTTGTGCTGTTGGACTTGAACTACTTAGAGGATTTGTTATTGTGAGCTGCAGTCGAGTCTGCCCCTGATACCTGGTGACCCCATGCACTGTGGGACAGAATGCCTGCCGCACCATCCCCATGATCAGTTACAGATCGGAACGTTGGGATCCATAGCAGTTGCAATGACTGATTTTCAGAAGTAGATTGCCAGACCTTTCTTCCTAGTCCATCTTACTCTGGAGGCTCCACTGAAAGCTGTTCCGCATCCTAACAACATGGACTGATGAATGGTGGCTGAGGATGAGGTGTTTTAGCTGTGAATTAAACCAGTTCTCCCACATGGAAGAGGAGAATTCAACTACTTTACCACCAGTGCCTCGGTTTGAGAATTGAAGAGTTAGGAAAACTGTAGACTGAAATACAGGGAGAGACATGTCAGAGGCATGTCTGTAACTTATTTTGAAACACACCAGTAATAAAGCAGTGGATGGGTGAATAGAGTCACAATAAGCCCAGTGTTAGTTGCAGAATCTAGGAGGTACGTATGTGGGTGTTCATTAGCCTCTTCTTTTAACTCTTCTACATTTTAAATTAGTCATATGAAATGTATATATTTGTGGGTATACTCCTACTCTCCTTTCTACACCTGTTCAGCCTGCAAGTCTATTCAATTGTTTGTTGCTTTCCCCTTCACCTAAGTAATGTGTATTAATGTCTTCCCAAGTTTCAAACAGTCTGTTCTCTTTAGAAATCTACTTGACTTCCCTTCCTTTAGAAGCTCTACACTATTTTCTCTTTTTACTTTGTAATTATCTACATTATAAATTAATATTCCTAGTTCTCTATTTTCATCCTTGTAGGTTTGTTTTACTTTGTATTCTGTATTTGGGTTGACTTATGGGTAATGTTGTCATGTATGTTAATCTCAAGTTGTTGTTTGCTGTTGTCGCTTCTCCGTGCAAAGAACTCCCTTTATTATTTTTTGTAAGGTTGGTCTAGTTTTTACAAATCCCTTTAGTGTCTGTGTATATGGAAATGTCCTAATTTTGCCATTG